AAGATCTGGTGCCCTATTCTGGTGTGGAAGAAGAATGTTGTATACATAATAAATAAATAAATAGATAAATAAATAAATAAATAAATAAAATCTTTTTTAAAAAGGAAGGAAGGAAGGAAGAGGAAGGAAGGAAAGAAAGAATCCTGGCCAGGTGATGGTGGCCCGCACCCTTAATCCCAGCACTCGGGAGGCAGAGGCAAGGCAGATCTCTGTGAGTTCGAGACCAGCCTGGTCTACAAGAGCTAGTTTCAGGACAGCCTCCAAAGCCACAGAGAAACGCTGTCTCAAAAAACTAAGAGAGAAAGAAAGAAAGAAAGAAAGAAAGAAAGAAAGGAAGGAAGGAAGGAAGGAAGAATGAATGAATCACAAGAAAACAACATCTGACAGGAAGACTGGGTGCCCATCAGAATGACTCTGTGCACATGTACGTGTATGTCCTACTCTGTGCACACGTATGTGTGCACACATATGTGGCCCTCATGCTTGTCTTGGCTTCTCCCTGAGTTGTGACCCTTCCCTAGTTGTGACCAAAAATATAAGTAAATTTGTTTTTTTTTCATTCTGTATCTATCATGTCATTTTCTCCTGAGGTGGTACACGTTATGTCTGGGTGCTCTGGTAACAATTTGGTGACCAAGACGACCAGGGTCTAGCAGGATTCATCACCATGCTTGTTTGTTAGGAGACAGGAGAGCTGAAACGCCAAGGTCAAAAGGAGTCACTTGTGTCCCTCTCTCAAAGCCATCTTGGAGAACCGAGAGGTGCCCAATCCTGTCATACTGCCTCGACCAAGAGGAGCTTTTTAGGATCCTCCAGTCTTGACTGCTAAGTGTACTAGGCTCACAGGCATCGCACTTAGTGGCTCCGCACTTAGCCTGTATGCTTCAGCTGATCTTGGGGGAGTGTACACACTAGGTCAGAGATAGACGGCACAGCACCCCTCAAGACTTAGGGATGGATACAAAAGGGGAAATCATAGCAATGAAGATTCCTGTAGGAAAATTCCATGCTGGCCTTGAAGACCGGCTCCCTTGGAAGTCCTGACTCCAGAAGGACTGTCTGAATACATGTGTTTTCTGGTTTTTGTTTAACCTTCTCTGTGACACTATGGTGACCAAGGTGCAGACAGACTGAGAACCCAAAGCCATAAACAAATTGATTCACACACATTTGTGTGTGCACATGCCCACAAGCACACACACACACACACACACGCACGCACGCACGCACGCACGCACGCACGCACGCACGTGCATGCAAGTTTTCTCAGTACAGGTAAGCATTCAGACCCAGAGCTAGACTTTATGGACAGATGTTCCAGAAACCAAGAGAAGGAGAAGGAGGAAAAAGGGAAGGGAGGGGTGAATGGAGAGAGGGAGGAAGGAGAAGGTGATGGGGTGAGGAGTTGCAGAAAAGGAAGAGTAGAGACTAGGTCCCCGTATGGGGCTCACCCTGCTCACTGTTGAAGACCGCCAGGAGGCGGAACATGAAGGCCCCACAGGTGGCAGCGAAGAAGCCCCTCCAGTAATTCCAGACGGAGAAATGTGAGGACATGACCTCGATGCTGAACAGGACCCCTGGGGGCACACAGCACAGAAGGGCCTCTATCTCCTGGCTGCAGGATTTGGGGGTCACATTCTCCCTGACTCTCTCAAACCTGCTGTCTTGCTGCCTGGACAGCCAAAAGCCCCTGTTGCCTTTGTCCTTGGCTCAAGCCAAGAAGGCCCTCATGTCCCCATCCCCACCTGTGAGGTTTTCCATTTACCAGCCCGAGAAACCAGGATCGGAGCAGTGAACTCACTGGCCAGAGCCACACAGTGAGACTAGGCTTTAAAACCACATGAGTTCAAAGGAAGTCTACAGGCCTGGACACCCCACCCCAGCCACCCTGGGGTGGCTTTGCAGAAGCCAACTGGGGTAGTAGGGGGGCAGTGGGGGGGACTGGGCAAGCCAGGGAGTTCAGGGCCAGGGGGAGGCTACAAGGTGGAGGAGGTGCCTGGAGCTCTCACCGCTGAAGGGGGCTGCGAAGACCGTGGCCACTCCCACTGCAGCTGCAGCCGCTAGCATTTCAATTTCCTTGGCCTTATTCTGGGGAAAACAGAGCTCTGGGTTCAGGACCGGCTCCCTTCCCCTTCTGGTCAAAGGGGCTCTTTCTTGTACCCCTCACCTGAGATTCCCCCATGGTCTTGGCTCGTACACGGCCCAGGTAAGCAGAAATCATTACACTCAGGTGCACGAAGGGGCCCTGGGGGTGGGGGTGGGGAACAAAGCATTGGTGCAGAGGGTCCGTGACCTGGGGAAGCTGAGTCCTCCCTTCCCTGTTCCTCTTCTTCCTCCCTAAGGCCCCAGGGAATGGAAGCTCCAAGCCTGGCCCAGCCGCCTTCTCGTTCACTTCCTTGTCCTCGGTGAACCCCAAACCCCAGGACTATCCCAAGATACATCTTGTCACACTTGGGGACTGAGCTGTATGTCCAGAGGTGTGGAGGAACAAGGAGGAAGGCAGGTGGGCTCTCTTGTTCTTACCACTTTGCCTAAGAATATGGTGCTGCCTGTTGCCAGAGTGCAGGAGAGGCCCACCACCTTGGCCCCAAAGTTCTTGATATCTAGGTAGTCCTCCAGGACGACTCCAGACAACATAGTCTTCAGCTCTGGGAGTCCAGACCCTGGAGCAAGGGAACGACCAGGGCCTCCCACACGCCCAACCCCACCCCCCCACCCCCCCATCTAAGTACTGATCCCAACCCTGCCTACAAGATCAGAGACATCAGGTACATTCTGCATGCCATGGCTGGCTCTCTCTCAACTAGGTCTCACTGTGTGACCCAGGATAGCCTAGAACTGGCAGACATCCTCCTGCTATTCCAAGTGACTGCCTCCATGCCCAGCACAGACTGAACAGTGCCACAATGCACACAGCACTCTGACACCATCCTCGGGACCTCACACACCCTGTGAGTGGGATATGTGACCTCAGCTGTCAAGAGAAATGGCTGAAGGTCTGAGTGGGGCCTTGAAGGCTACAGCGGCAGGGAGGGGACCCACGATTGTTAGGCGACACCTGGGAGATCCCGTGGGCTGCAGCTGGAGGGTGCTCTAGGGCCTGGGAGCTGGCTACTTCTATCAACCCAGCCCTGACATCATGGGCTGTGCTCCTGCAGGTGACAAACCACCAACATTTTTTTTTTTCTATCCCAGAGGATCCCAGGGAAGTCAAGTCAAGCCACTGATGACTGGGTCCCCTGCTCTCCCTCTCCCTGTGTGACTTTGTGGAAGTGGCCTGGCTCTTCCAAGCCCGCTTCCCCAGCACTAATGATAATGTGGCACCGTCCTCTGCCCTCCCTCCTCAGAATCCTCACGGGATGTGAAAAGATTTGGACCCATGGGGACTGCAGGACAAGGCAGGCTGGCCAGAGACCAGTGACCATGACTCACCTCCAGAGAAGGGCGTGATGCTCTGTGAGAAGCCGGAGGAGAAGGACAGGAGGGCCACAGGGTACACAGTCCAGGAGAGATACCGGAGCAGGTGACCGTCCCCAACCTCCCTGTATAGCCACTTGTGCGCTGGAGATGCCCAGCTGTCAGGGAGCCACCCAGAGCCTCTACAGCCCTGGGGACAGACACTACAGTGCCCACTTACAGACCGGGAGAGGCCCACGCCACCCAGGGAGAGGAGAGTGACCAGGTCCCTAGGTCCATATCTCAATTTTCCAGACTCCTACTTGTGGGACTTCAGTTGAGTGACTGGACTGAGCCTCAGTTTCCCCTCTGTCCAGTAGCCAGTGATGGTACCCTCCCCATCCCTCCCAAACCCTGGGTCCCTGAAAGACCAGAGGAGGCCTAGGGAGGACTTGGTGAGACAGTGCGGAGCCTTACTATGGCAGCTGAGTGTCCAGGGGAAGTGAGTACCCACTGAACAGACAGCATGGAGGGAGGGGAGAAAGATGGGGACAGTGGCCAGAAGTAAAGGCTCCTACAGGCATTCAGGCTCTTTCCCCCATTGTGTGTGTGACATGACTGAGACCCAGAGAGGGAAAGGAACCTTGCCAGGGTCACACAACTGGTGAGATATGAAGCCAGCACAAACTCCAGGCCTGGCTACCCACAGCCCTGCCCCACCCCACTGCCCCTGGCTGTCCAGCTAGCATCCCAAGCCTAAAGTAGGATTCCTATTGCCCTGAGGGGATATGTGTGCTGGGGAGGCCTTACCTCTGACCACGCGCCCGATAGCGAAGTTCATGGCATAGCTGATCAGAGCCATGAGCACCCCGAGGGCCATCAGGAAATACCAGTCCTCACCCACACGGAACAGCCGCTCTTTCAGCCACTCCAGGGCCCCTGGGCAGGACACTGGGGTCACAGCTCCTTCCCGAGAGACTGCTCAGGCTCTGGGTAGGAACAGCAAGCTAGGGGCCTGGAGCTGGAGTCTGGGGTGAGGAGGAGGGGCTCTGCCTCATGCAAGGGGCTGAGCAGGGCTGCAGAAAGTGAAGTAGTGACACCATGGGTGCCTTTGGTCTGTCCCTCCACTGTAGCTCACACTGGGGCCTTACAGAAGGTTGGTCAAGGTGGTAGAGGAGAACGAGGGGCCTGACAGTGTACACCTCTTACAGATGATACCTCACCAGGGTCTGAGCAGGAACCTCGTGTTGTCCCCAGGGCTTGTGGGCCATCTGTACTTCAGGCCCTGGGTATGCCCTTGGCCACTGGCTGTTAGCCCAGCCTCAAAGCTGACCCTCTCTGGCTGTGAGCATCAGCACCTGGGCCTGACCTCTGCCCCTTTCTGGGGTCCCCACTTTCTCTGGGGTGGTCAGGTTCTAATACACAGACAAAGGGGTAGAGAGTGATCTTGGGTCT